TCGCGTTCATCTTAACCTTTTTCGCGTTTCGATCGGTTGATAAAGGCTAACACACACCAGTAGCCAATTATCAACAGCTGTCATAGAGCTGCGACTGTTTGTACTCGTAATGCCTACATAAATCCACACTCATAAAGAAATTGAACGAGTTTTGCTGCGAGATGGGCACTGTGGACGTGCATCACTTCCGTTTGTTATTGCCCCGTGCCCGTTTTTGCATTGTATCACTGATACCTATTATTAATCCTGATATTTCTGTTCCGTTTTCTCGTTATCACGAGTTATTACTGCTTTTTTACGCAGGCCCGGGTACCTTGTATCACTCTAACTGGGAGACGTGTATCTTGCACCGCAGTTTCGAACGTGCAAGGGACGTGGACGTTGCAGAAGAAAGCACGGCACTCCGTCTCACGATCTTATTTCGAACGCATTGTTATCGCTCGCACGCATAGAGTATTTTTCTTTCTGGGTAGTGTCAGTAATGGTGCGGGTGTATAACTAGGGCTGAGATGGTCTATGTCCCGCTGAGTACTGCCGCGAACGTACCCTGGGTACGTCCCGCGGTATACGAAAGCGCTACCCTGGTACTATATTATATGCCGAACCGTACCTCGCCTACTCCACTAAACGAGTCTAGGACGTCGCCTATGCCTTGACTCCCATAACCCCTAACCCTTAACCCTAACCCTAACCATATCAGGATAGGTTCACCAGGGCTACCGCAGGGTACGTATTCGGGCCAGTACCCTGGGGACATAAACCCTATGCGACGTAAGGTTAGCGGCATGTGGGACGCATCCGCCGCATGCTGTCTGCACAATGATGAACACGGCGCAACACCGTCGCACCCGCCATGTCTATAATTGGCGCTGACCCATCTCTATTTGCGGGGCTACTTACTCCGACTAGCGCCTGTATTACACACTGCAAAAATTTTGCGCCGCCTGGCCCGCCGACTAGTTTAATGTTGAGGTCAAGTTTCAGGGCGGGTTTTTCACATTGACTTTCAGTTTCAAGTCAGTTTTCAGAATTGCTTGAAACTTTTTCGGATTCGCTGGCTACAGGGCTGTTACTGAAGTTTACACATATATGTTTGTGTTGTTACACTGTCTCAAAATGCTGGCTCTTGTTGCGGCGGGCGGCCGTCGCGACCGAGTGCTATAGAAGTGTCCTGAACGTATAGTTCAGTCAATGTGCCATGCAGTTATAGTAGTTCACAGCGCCGGGCTAGCTCGGTTGCATGGTTAGGTTGGCATATTACAACCTTAGATAAGCTTATAATAGGGAGAGCTCCGCGCTCTGTTACGTTCACCGATTAATGCGGAGTATTGAATGTCATGCATGGGGGGCGTGACAGGGTGTCTGTATGAAGAAAGCGGTCCTTCCTTACCCGCTACGGTGTTATTCTATTCTGAACAAGTAATAGTCTGTAACTCTTGCCAATGATGATCTGTGAATATTGCCAAACATTCCGGACAGGCATTATTGCAGATATTTAGCATTGCATAATCTATATACATATAGTTGGCAAATTCGGTAAATGTTTCTCTATCTTCTTATTTGTTTTGATTGATTGACAGTAAGGTGGAGAACGACATTTGACAACCCGTGTGTACTCTGGCCTCACACTACTGATGAAGTTATCCCATGTCTCTTTATTAAGGTTAGCTGGCCTTACATTTACTCCTCTTGCGCCTATCTTGCATACTGAAACGCTGGTCTGCTCTGCTTTCAGTAAAGCCTGTTTTCACACTAGGGGATGGCTAACACTGTTCATTGATAGGTTCTTGATGCTAGTAGTTGTCGTAGTCTAGTAGTGTAGTGTTGTTGTATCTTCCTTTCTGAATGGCTGAATCGAATACTATTGAGTAAGTCAACAGCATTACTATACTAGTGTTGTACTTGGGAAAAGTTCGTTGTGTCTCCGCTCCGGCGATCGTAGAGATCGCTTAGAGTTAGAGTTGTAAAGTTGTTGATCTCCGCTGCCGGTATCGGTAGCAGCAAGCGTCAAGTTTAGCAAATTGGTTTAGCAAGATTTGTAGCAAAGCAGTAAGACGATTGTTATCGCCAGAATTTGGTTGTTGCAAGGACTGACTCTTTATTTTAGTAAAATAAATACGAAATATATGACATACGGCAACCTAGGTGACGTTGTCTAGTTCCGTCCATGCTGCTGTTTTCGTTCATATCTCCAACTACATCCGTCCTGCGGTCGTCTCTTCCTCTGGCGTAATCAACTTACTTATGATCTGGTTTCTTCGTGCTATTTAGTACGTTGTCCGAAAAACCGCCCGGCCGACATTTTTCAATCCGACCGGTTGTTTTGTCATTATCGGCCGCGACCTTGGGCTCGTGGTATAGGGCTGCGTCACGTCACCCATCCCGGCGCAAGGCGTACCGGGAGGCGCGTCCGGTTCATTGTCGTCGCGCGTTATATGCGTAGCTAATGCGCTGATGTGAGGCGTTGCCAAGCGTCGCGTACTCGGCGCCACCGTTTGCTGAATACAATAATTTCCCTGGTGACGCCCTCTTGAAAATGTTTATGTCCTCAATGAAAACGCTATGTTCCAAGTTAAACGATTATCTCATAATTACGTTTCCAAAAATGCGGGGGGGCGCTACCTAGAATAAAATAAATTGGGTAGGCGAGGTGGATTGTTGGCGGGTATACAGGGGCCCGTTCAAACAATACAGCAAGGCGAACCAGTGCGATACAAACAAAACGTCAGCCCACTGCACTCATATGGCTGATATGATTGTTGCTGAACGATGCGGTGCCTTACTTGCCTGTGCTCGTCATTGTAAGGCGGTTTTCAAGATATCCGATCGCAGTTTTGCGCGTGGATGGTTGGATTGCGTTAAAATCCTTGGGTGTCAGAGTATAGCGATGGAAGAGTTGCCGGGTTTAATATAAATGAGGGCTGGGGGGCTATTGCCTGCAGCGTTCTAGTGAAATGAGCGCTCATTTTACGTATCACAGGAAGGGGCGGCCAGGTAGGGTCGACAGTCTGCAACGCGTAACTCAACTCGAATCGGGCATGGAAGCGCTAGGGAAGGATGGCGAAACAAGAGATACTTCTTACGCTTAAAACCCGTTAGTAAATCGGTTTAATAAAAAAACAACAGACACACACACCCACACACAAAAAACTCAAAACGTACGAATGAAAAAGTGCCAGATATCACCGGCCTAAGCTATATCGTTAACAAACAGATCCATAGCAGATTCTTGATTAATAAACAATTTGAATTCGCTGGTTTCGCTATGTCGGGGTATTAGATCAAATGTATCGGCTGCAGCCGGATCGAAAAATTGACGCGACGCTGTGGACGAAAATCGGAGCGTACCAAATTCCCTGGGCCCAGAGTTGTTTTAGGCTCATTCGTCACCATTAACCTTAATATCGTTATTTACGCCTATGGGTGAGTTGCGTACCGTAGTATGCCTCTGTCTGCCAGGCGGACGCCTATTTCAGCTTACCCTATTGGCCACGTGCTGTAGCAGGTCTATACTTCCTAGAAGTTCGCGCTAGGCGTGCGTACTACGTCTTTTTCGCATCGCATAGGATTATATACTTTAGAATAATCCTCCACATCTCCTCTTTCGACGCTTTGAGTCACACGTCACCCTGAATTACATACAATAGATTACTTTCATGTTAAGTAAAACTTACCCAACTGCTTAGCACATTATAACTTACTAAAATTTCCTACAGTAGCGTTTCGCATATTGGTGTCTGTTCTACCAATTCTGTCTTTCAGTCGATTGTACTGAAATTATATAATATGACAGATGATTAATTTATTAATTTATTAATTTAATAGCGTTTCGCATATTGGTGTCTGTTCTACCAATTCTGTCTTTCAGTCGATTGTACTGAAATTATATAATATGACAGATAATTAATTTAATTTATTAATTTACTAATTTAAAGAAATTTGTAACGGATATGTCAACATGAGCTTGTAACTGTAAGCTCCTCACCGTCAGAAGTTCAGTAATAAATCATTGTAAGTTTTTCAAACATGAATGTTTTATAAAATGAATGAATAAATTTGGTCCGGCATATTAGATAGTACCAGGGTACGTTCCGGTATACCGGCAGTACCCCGGGGGAAGGGGGGAGGAACCGTTAACTCACCTGAAATGTATCTTTAGTCATTCGGAAATTTTCCCCTCTCGCACGTAAATGTTGCGTCAACAAGGCCGAAATAATCCTACGTCTCTGCAGGTAATAACGTGTAACGCGATCCTGCTGCCTTGCTTGAATATCATCGTTCTCATTCGACTCAATTTCTATTCCTTTTCTACGTGATAGATAGAAACAGAGTAGTTTGACGAGTAGCTGTAAAGTTTGACAAAAATCCATTACATACAAGCAAGTGGTTATGTTTACATGCAACACGGAAGTAAACAGAATAGTTGGAAGTCAGTCAGAAGTGTTTGATTGTTTAATTCGCATTGTTCGCATTGTATTTTTTTCTCAGCTCACATCTCGCATAGCGTCGTGTGAACGCTCTCTTCAACGACGCTCCGTGTCGTTTTCGACACGGGTCGTTTTCGACCCGAGTTCCTTCGCTCCGTGTGAACGCGGCTTATATTACAACATTATTTATGGAACACTTAATTTACGTAAATTACGTAATTACGTAAATTAGGAACCCTCGCGCTGCATCGCATATAATTTTACGTAATGTAATACACGAAAAACAGAAGAAAAAAAAAATATATATAGCGTGTCTCTTGAATCTCACACTCAATGATTTCAATGTTAATGCCCAGCGTGCCCTCATATGAACACAAGTTTTACCAGCACTGTTCGTTAGTATAGTTAGTTATTTATACTATAGTATAGTTAGTTATACTCTATTCCACAGGCCAGCTCAGGGTGTTGCTTGGACATCATATATGTCTATCTATATATGTCTATATTATCTATATTTTAACTAGTTAGTTATTTATATTATAGTATAGTTAGTAGTTATACTCTATTTCACAGGCCAGCTCAGGGTGTTGCTTGGACATCACATGAAGGGCGTCATACAGACGGATCCCATGATCGCCGATGTTCTCTCACAGATTGCATCGCTGCAGCTACTCGCGCAGAACATCAGCGACGAGGGCGAACTCGTCGTAAAGAAAACCGAACCGAAGTACTTCTATAGTAAGCACGTAAAATCGCGGGAACGCTGGCGCGCAAAGACATTATGGCCGCACACGCGGAGATCCGTTTAGATCTCCATCGATGCCATGCATGCTGGCTATATAGCGGTGGAGTGCGCGGGCAAAGCGCGTTATGCTGTGATTAATTCGCATGCCACGCATGCACGAATTCCCGGCGCTGAAAGCGGTGTCGCCGTCGACGCCGACGCCGTGAAGCTTTCACGTTCATCTAGGCGCGAGGCGCGAGCGCAATGCGATGCGGCGTGCATTGGCGATAAAATTGTGACCCGCTGAAATATTTACCACTGAAATAACAGCGGGGCGACGTTTCGTTCGTTCGTGATTTTCAGCGGTCTCGAACGTCTTTTGTCTTTTCCCTTGTCTTGTATGTCCTTTGACATTTGTCTTTCATCTTTTGCCTTTTGCCTTTTGTCTTTCCTCTTTTCTCTTTCATGTTTTGATGTTTCGTCCTTGTCGACATTTTGTCTTTTGTCTCGTCTCTTCCGTTCTCTTTTCTCTATTTGTCTTTAGAAATCGGACCGATTTTAGCCGACGGATTCTGGGAGTTGGACTACCCGTCGCGTCAAGTTGCTATATCGATGATCGGATTGCCGACAGTCGATGATGAAGCCATATCAGAGACCGAATCCGACGACTGCCTTGCAGAACTCTTCAACACCGGGTACATAGAGAAGTCCGCAGTTGTAAAACGCGTAAAGTGTTTACAGTAGAAACGAGTTCATTTGTCTGGCGCAGCCTGTGTTACGCGCCGTATCTATGGTTACATCCCGATGTTTCCCGAATCCGCGACGAGCACCCTTCGCTTGTCGTTACGATCGGCGTCGCCTCCGGTTCCGCGTCGTTATATATGCGATTTCGACGCAGCAAAATAAGGTGGATGTAATATCGTCGGGAAACACGTATTCGAACTCGTATAGCAACGTGGCGATTACTCATTGCATACGCGCGGGCGCTTTGACGCATCCCCCGCGGATAACGGCGCGCGTGCGACGAGTGCCCTGTCATAGCGGGGATCTATCTCTCTCACCCTCTCTCTCTCTTTATCCCTCTCTCTCTCTCTTTGTCGTCTCGCAGAAGCTTCCACAGTCTCCCAACATTCGATTCAAGCTATTAGAATTAAGCTGGGGTAACCCGGTCACGCTCTCGAGTTCTATCCAGCGTGTATGCGTGCGCGCGCGCGCGCAGCGGCCGGCGCGTTGTTGTGTTGTGATTGTGTGTGTGCGGGTGCGTGCGTGCGTTGGCGTGCGTGCGTGCTGCGGCGTCCTGCTGATGTGTGCGCTGCAGTACTGCTGCGCCATCTCCAAATAGCACACCTCGTGCGTAAGCGAGTACAGGCTTGTATCCCGGCGACGGTCATGCATTCCAGCCAGCGCCTGCTGTGAATTTACATCGCCGCGCTCGCCGTAACCGAGCGGAAACGAACGCACACTCAGTATACATGGCCAGCGGCGGTCGCAACATCAAACGCGGTGCGCGCCAAGAGAGAGAGAGACAGACAAAGAGAGAAGAGAGAGAGAGAGAGAGAGAGAGAGAAGAAGAGAGACCGAGAAGACAGAGACCAGAGAGACAGACGAGACAGAGACACAGAGAGAGAGAGTAGACGAGAAGAGAGAAAAGAGAGAAAGAGAGAGAGGAGAGAGAGAGAGAGAAGATAGAAGAGAGAGAGACAGAGACAGAGAACAGAGAGCCAAGACGACAGGGTGGGTGCCTGTCTCCCATCGTCGCGCAGATAGCGAGAGAGAGAGAGAAAGAGAGAGAGACGAGAGAGAGAGAGAGAGAGAGAGAGAAGAGGAGAGAGAGACGAGATGAGGAGAGCGCCCTAGAATATAGGAGAGACGAGAAAGAGAGAGAGGAGAGAGAGAGAGAGAGAGAAATGAGAGAAGAAAGAGAGAGAGAGAGAGAGATGTCAACACAAAGAAGAGAGAGAGAGACCTGGAGCAACAAGACAGAGGACATAGAACAATACCACACACAGAGAGAAGAAGAAGAGAGAGAGAGAGAGAATGAGAGAGAAGAGAGACGAAGCAAGAGATATAGAGAGAACGGCGAGAAAGAGACGAGAGAAGAGAGATAAGAGAAGAGAGAGAGAGAGAAAGAGAGAAAGAGAGATAACGAGGAGAAAGAAGGAGAACG